TACTGGAACTCTACCTTTATGAGCTTTACAATATTTAGTTTTACGTGGTGCAAAATCTGATCTGTAACACCTTTGTTCTAAATTTAAAAAAATATTAACTGGCTTTTTTTTTAATTGTTGTTGAAGTTGTCACTGCTGTTGATAAATCAAGAAAGGTAAATGAAGATGTGTATGTAGTAGGTGGTGCAAATGATAGTGAAAGGCGAGAATGATTTATTAATTGTTGAATAATGATGATTTTTTTGTTTCGTGGATTCTTTTAATAATATTATTGTTATTATGAAAAAGCATTGATATTGTATTTTGAAAAGAAAAAATTTTCAAAGCCATTTTTTTTTTTAAAAAATTTTATTCAAATACATTTTATTTTATTAACAACCAATTAGAAATATATATATATAAAACAAATCAACAAGCTTTCTCTTTCTCTTGTACGTAGGTTTATTTTTTTATTGATAATTAATCAATAAATGAACAAACAGGAACATGATTAATCCAAAATATTAATTAAAATTAATTATTATAAAATTTCACATATAAATTATTTAAATAAAATTTTGTCATTAATTTATTAATATTAATTTAATCAACTCCATATTCAGTTTCAAAATCTTTTCGTCTTCTCTTGCCAAATTGTGATCCATCACTTCCACCATGAGTATTAGGTGTAGGCTGTTGACCCTATATATGCACACACACACACACACACACACACACACACACACACACACACATTTATATACATTTAGACTTATTAATAAATAATTTTAATGTGATATTAAAATATATAAATGACATATTATAAAACAATAGCAACATTTACCCAATTCTGTTTTCCAAAAAATTCTCCTTGATGAATTCTTCCTGACACACCTCCCCTGCCACCGTCTCCACCGTCACCATCACAGTATCTCAATGATTGAGTATTACCATCAACACGAGCCGGACTATCACCTCTAGTTCTACCTCTTGATTGTAGTATTTGCAAAAATTGGTGTGATGATGTTGATGATGTTGATGTTTGATCGACTGTTGTAGTTTTAGTACCAGTTATTACGCCTGATGTGGTCAGAATAATTGTAAAATTGATATTTTGTATTAAATCTGTTATTGTGTCAACATTGATAAAAGGATCTACCAAAAAAATTATTTTGGGAAATAATAGATATAATCAAACATTATGTAAACCTTTGTTTTTAAAAACAAGTGACAATAAATTTATTTTTCTTCATACTAGTATAACTTTGTTGGTGGCAGTAATCTTATCAAAAATTTTGCAATTGAATCTGGTAACATTAACCTGTTTGGTAACATTGTCCAAGTGAGAGGCTGTTGTATATAATTTTGAGGAGGAGGTGGTGGTGGCGGTGGTGGCGGTGGTGGTGGTGGGGATGATTGCATGCTAGATATGTTTGGTATGGGTTGAGATTAGTGTTCCATGTCGCAATCCAAAAAAGGAAACCAAAGTGGTCGCAACCAGGTGTCGCAAACCATTTTTATATGTCG